TATATATATTTAATTATATACTGTTTCTTTAATAATACAATAATAAATAAATTTACCTGAAAAAACATTATATGTATCAGTGAGATTGGAACTGAATACCAGTACAGTCTTGTCAGCCAGGCCACAAGCCAGCTTCTCTCCATCCCCTATAAAAGAAGAGTGTCTAATGGTTTATATTTGAAAGCAACAGGAACCTAATATGCTGTTTCTTTTAATCATTAAAAACACATATGTCATTACAACAAAACACACACCAGATATTCATTTCATATGTTTAACACATATTTTGTATGAACATCACAAACTCATATGGCAGAATTTGGTAGGAATTTGTATGCAATTTCTTTCTTGTCCTGACATATTCTCAAAACAGTTATTCATCACAAGGCAGAAATTCACTTTTCAACAAAAAGAAGTGCTACAAAATTTAAGTGCAGAAATTTTTAGTACTCATTTAAATCTATTTCCTTACACTATTTTTTTTCTATCTTTTTATTGAAGTTATGTCACCTTTTCTTATACATTAGAATAAAAAGCACATATTAGTCACTCTGGATCACTTCTTAAAGATGATAAATTTCCTTCATAAGGCAATCCTAGAAACTATCCAAGTGCAGTCAGATTGTTCATTTATACTGGTAGTCAGAGGGGGCACACAGTGATAGGATAGACACCCTTAATGTGTACAAAATGGCAGTGATTTGTGAAATTTAACTGTCTGCTCAAAAACTTTTCCTGAAAAATTAAACTAGTAAAGAGCAGATAAATGAACCAATGGGAAAAATAAGGGAGGGTGGAGCAAGAGAATAACAGTAAGAGGAAGCAAGGAAATGAAGCACAGAATGCAAAACAGTACTACTAGGTTCTCTGTGAAAAGTATTTTTAAAGAGGTACCACCTGAACACCCCCTTCATACATCTCCTTAGCATCTCTACAAAGGGAGAGGGAATAAAAGTCGTGCTTGACTTCAACAACATTACACACTGCTATCCACTGGCCAAGTACCATTCACTTTGCCTGTTCCACAACATAGTTCCCACATTTTTCCCACATTATGGCAATATAAACAGATAAGAGATCCATATTCTCATCACTGAGCATCATCTACTAGAAATGAATTTTAAGTGGGACTTACAATGGGGTAGATGTACATGTCAAGAAGCAGCATTCCAGAATCTTTTTTTTCTGTTATCTGTTATTAAATGCACCAGTATACTGAACTGGTAAAGAACTACTTTATAAAAATATTTTTCATTTTATCTGACAAGCAATATTTCAGTTGACTTTGTCTCCAAGTACTAGTAATTGTACATACTAAATAATGCTGTTAAATATTTTCATCACAAAAATAAGACAAGTAGTCCTGGACAAAATATTCCAAAAAATGAGTGATCCACAAACTCAAAGGTATGAAGACTTTGGGCTAAAGCGTGGTGCTCTTCTGCAGATTTCCCCCACTTTTCCTAAAGTTTTGACAGTTTATGTTTTCAGCATGAAAGTTGATTGGTAAGTATATCAGGTAAGTAATATAAGGCAAGTCATACATACATAACTAACAATACATAAACCTTCTTGTGCGTACAGAACGAGAGAAAATAATTTTGCATACAATTTTGATGGCTTGTTCAATGGAACATCATCTCAAATCCCAAAGAAAACTGTTTTCTAACAGAGCAACAAGTTATAACTCATAACACCTCCAATACTACAAAAGGATGTTCAAGAAATTAACTTATTAATGCAACCTTACAACCTTTGAAGTTTTACTTAAGTTTTCTATTTAATTTTCTTTCTGCTATGTTTAAGGATGCACATAACATTAGTTATTGTGATTCATACCTTATAAAGACCACTTGAAAGACTGTTCCAAGCTGCAATTCCAAGTTGCAAATTTGCAACAGAAAATATATTGTAAAGCTAGGAACTATCTGGTCAACCCAGACTACAACAATAACAGAACACCTCTTTACAAGCTTACAATAATGATTTTTTAACTCCAAGAAAAAAAAAAATCTGCAAGTTTTGCTAAACTGTGGTTGTTTAAGCTCGTGTGTGCAAGAGACAGTGAAAAGACAAAGATGCTCCTTCCTCAGAGTAAGTACAAGAGGATTTATACTTAAAATGTATTATCAAAACTATAGCAATGCTTTTCTTTGCTAAAAAAGAACTTTTAGTTTTAAGTGCACATAACATTCCTAGAAATATGGTCTCTGCAACCCATTTATTTCAGAAGCCATAAAAATAATTTCTTCCTGTTCTCTAGGGAACACTTACGGCTGGAACAGGTTTTAGAAAAGTCACTGACTACATCTAATTGATTTTATTTTTTGAAAATGAAAGTTGCTCTTGTCCCTAAAGTATTTAAAAAGATATAATTTTTTTAAATACTTGGAAAATATTGTGGTTTGCAGAGTGCACATTGACATAATTATATATCTAGTAATACATTTGATTGCTAATCTAAGAATCTGTATAACAATATTTATATGGATTGGAATTGACTAAACCTATTACAAGACTGACTCCTCCAAAGCAGTTAAGAAAAATATCCTTCTTTGGATTATATAGAAGAATTCTTTTTTTACATTTTAATATATAAAAACAGAATAAACTTTACATAAGAAATAGGAGTATTCTACATAAGAAATAGTATTCAGATTCCTTTGAAACAGAACTTCAGCTTTTACTACACTTCAGTGACACTAAGTAAATGTCTCAGAAAACAAATTCCTTAGTGAAAGAACTTGTTAGACTCAAATTTTCAAGTTGTAGTGGGAAAGTGATAGAATAAATCCAAAAGGAAACAAGATGGAAAATCAGAGAATTAGAAGCCCTTTGCATACATGTTCACAGCTTGCATAGTTTTGCAAGTTAAAAAACTATGATCAATCAGTACATGGAATTTACCAAGTAAAGCTATGGTCTTAATAAAAAAAAAAAAAAAGTCACACAAATTTTGTTTTTCTTTCTGCACACTGACACAACTGTACGTCTTATAAAGCCTGTACATACCAGAATACTGAATGCAACAAATTGAGGTTGGTTTACAAGTAACAGATATCTCTTTCTCATATTTGATTGGAGGATAACTTTCCAATGGATATTCTTTATTTTTACTTCAAAAAAGGAAAAAAAGAGAAAGAGAGGAAAAATGTTAAGATGTCTAAACCCAGTACGTTTTCATTTCAGTTATGAAATATATGTGCTATTAGGAGCTATTTGAAGCATCTAAATACAAATATTTCCCAGAAAATGTAAATTCTCACTTATGTTAAATCCAAGACAAGAGGCAAAATGAATTTTTAATTCTCATATTTAAATTAATCCTATCACCAACTGTTATGAATGCATGAGAGCAAGAATTAATATGGACTTGTACATAAAATCAAATTTAAGTTGCATACCTATCTAATAAAAATACTTCAAGAATGAAAACTCTACGTTACTGTGACAATAAGCAACATGAAAAATATCTCCATATGTAAAAATAAGAATTACACTGATCATCTATTTAACAAGATACTAAAAAAAAAGCAACACACAAACCTTAAAGTGCTAAGTAGCTTAACATCTCATAAAATAGCACAAACCAATCTAGAAATTATACAAAGTGATCATCTAAAGGCTTGCCTGTGTGTGCGAGGATTACAAAAATTTAGTCTTGAGCTATTAAGTGCTTAAGAAACAGTTTCTTAAAAACAGAAAAACGATGGCATTAAACATTCTTTACATTTATGTTATACTACATAGAACAAAGCCTCTATATAATACTATAGAATATAGAAAAAAATGTCTGTAATGTTCCCATTTAACATACCACACCAATTAACATGAAAGTGCCAGCTCTAAAAAAACATTTGCTCTTCGTGTCCACAGTGACGATGAATCCACTGGTCACACTGTACTATGATTCATTTTATAGAAAATTTACAAAGCCTTTTAGTACCAGCAATACTGCTAACTAAAAAGTTCCAATGAGAGAAACAGCTACAAACCATATCTCCGATAGAACCTCATTTTAATTTGTTCTTCCTCTAACAGAGTAGCTAGATTGCCTACCATTTGCAACTGGTCTTCCACTTTGATACTTTATTTTTCTTCAGGTTATTATTTGGAGAAAACATGGTCATTCTACAAGAAAGAACAGACTCTCCTATATGAAACATGAAATGTTGCATGAGATGAATAGTTTATTTCAAACAAAAAACAATCCTACTTCCTTCTTGCTACTTATTTCTACTAGTAAGACAATGTACACATTAACAAAAAAATAACTTTCTAATTACTTAATGCTCAAGTTTGCAGTCAGTTTTGCTTTCTGTGAGTTACTTGTTGGATAATGCATTCTGAAGGTCAAAATCCCTTCATATAAAGTTCTCAGACATTCCTTTCTGCAAGCTGAAGAGTTTAATCACATAAAAGAGACAAGATGCATAATATAGATTTTGAAAGGAAGCTGAACACTGACAAGAAGCTGTGATAATTTTTGAAATTATTTTGTTTGACTGACAACATCATATCTGTTTTTCACTGGTGATTAATTTCACAGACATGAGACTATATGGCTCTATCATGTGACAAAATATCACAAACCAATAAAACAGACAAAACAGTGATGTATCTACTCACTGGGGTGCTGCTGTATAACCTGATGACTTAACTTTGCTATGGAAAACCAACGGCTGATCTTTCACCATGCTTTTCGCTCCTATAGCAAAATAATCTAATTTTCATCAACATGGTTTTTTAATGTTCTATTTTTACAGTTAAAGTAGATAGTTAAGTTAGCACAGCAGAAATATTTCATGTCTCCTTCTGTTACAAAACACATTTATGACATTCACTCAAAAATAATATTTAATGAGAAAAGGACACAAATATGAACTATTACGTTGCGTAACATCTGTCCTCCAATCATATCAATGAGTGGGAACTTCTTTAAACTTTGAATTAACAAGAACATTGTTCTGAGGAACTTTTTTCATCATTCATTCACAAACGTGTTTTGTAGTTGCCTATTTTATGCTTAGACTTTATATGCATTAGATATAATATATTCACACCTTGTATTTGGAATATGGAATGCATCTAAAGATCATTAGCAAACTGGCTAGTGGGTACACATAAATATTTGGGGTTTGATGTGTTTTAAGTCGTTAATAATGTCTGCTTTCACACTGCTGTACTAAGAAGCCTGAATGGCAGCCTCCAGCCCAAAACTAAATATGAGAGTTTCATACCAGCAGAAAAAAAAAAAAAAATTAAAAAATGGTGCAAAGTGGGAAATCTTGTTGGTATTCCAAGGGAAAAGGTTTCAGGTGCATTGGGAGTGATCTCATGGGCACATTTATGTGTCCTATGCTGAGGACAGAAGCTCCTTCAACTCCCACCAGCTATCCTTTCTCTTTATGTAGCAACGCAGCAGAAAAGTTTCCTTCCTGGGAAGCTCCCAGTACCAATTGCCATAAGAGACAATAGCATTTCCTCACAGCACCTACTCTATCCGAGTGTGAGGTGTCAACAAGGGTAGAATCATAGAATCATTAAGGTTGGAAAAGACCTCAAGGATCATCAAGTCCAATTGTCAACCCAACACCACCTAACCTACTAAACCATTCTCAGAACATCATACAAAACTAAAGATATAACCTTTGATGTTCTAACAGGTCCAAAAAGTATAATCAATATAGTAAAAATACATTATTTCTACATGTCTGCAGCTAGCAATATTTTTATATCTTTCCTAAAGAAAAGGTGATAATGCAAAAATTATTTGGTAGGTATTTTCTGGACATTGCTAAGCAAAGAAGTTACAATTGCTTCAGCAGCAACTGGAAGTCAGACCTTTTTTTTTTTTTTTAAATAGTAGACCATGGAGGCAAAAATTAGCTTCCTAAACTTGCAGGTATTGACAAATAAAATTGACCAAAACAGGTAACCAAATTTAAGAAAGAAACAACAAATTATACAGAAAAAAATATATTTCATGCTATGGAAAAAGAATGACTTATGAAAAATGTAAACATTCTATGCTCTTTAACTCTCTGAAAATCCACAGAAAGTTCTCAGAGGATTTTTTTTAAAGAAGAAAAATACCATATTGCCACCATTTTCTCTACAAATACATGTGTAGGATATGAAATACTACAAGTATAAAATTCTTCCATCTAAAATAAAATATAAGGCAATATATACTTAAAACAGAAATTAGGCAGCAGCTAGTTGCGACTCAGTTACTGTTCTTAGTAATATAATTCTATTAATTCATTTCAAGATAGAGTTGTACTCACCAAGTATTTTATTAGCAGGTTCTTTCAAGTTTTTCTTGAAGCCTTTACACAATGGAGAATTTGGCAATAAAGAACATCTAAATTATAGAACCAAGCACAAAAATCAACCAATGCAATGAACAAAAGCATCAGATTAGGAAAAAGTGACAAAACTTTTTAGCTATTTGTGTGCATGTGTGTATGTATATATGTGATAGCAGTGACATTTTCATAAACACAAATCAGGCAGAGTGGATTAGTTATAGCTCAGATATCCAGCAGCACAGACAAGCGTTGGCCCTGACTAGATTCACAGACCATTGTATTGACGTGTTAAATCCCTTTTCTGTGAATAATAACTGATGATTTTATTGTAAGCACTAAAATCCACAGTTCATATCAGTGTATATTGTAAGGTTTTTATTGTCTTCAAGACGTCAGTGTTGTGAGATATCCATCATCAGCAGTGGATATTGTCCACTTTGACTTCAGTAAGGCTTTCCACACTGTCTCCTCGTAGAAAAGCTGGTGAAGCGGGGGCTGGATGAGCACACACTGAGGTGGATTGAAAACCAGTTGAACAGCCAGGCCCAGACAGTGACGAGCAGTGGCAGAAAGTCTAATTGGAGGCCAGTCACTAGTGGAGTACCCCAGGCACCAATACTGGTCCAATTCTGTTCAACATCTGCATTAATGAAGTACTTTCGTGCTTTACAAAATTAAAGTACATTAGTAAAGCCTTTGACAACGTATATTATACCATTCTCCTGGAGAAAATGACTGCTCTTGGCCTGGACAGGCTTATTATTTGCTGGGTAAAACCTGACTGGATGGCCGAGCCCAAAAGGTGGTGGTGAATGGAGTCAAATCCAGTTGTTGACCACTCACAAGTGGTGTTCAGTACTGACTCAGTATTGGGCCCTGTTCTGTTATTTGCCAATGCCATTGATGAGCGTATCAGGTGCACCCTCAGTAAGTTTGCAGACGACACCAAGTTGGACTGGAGCGTTGACCTGCTTGAGGGTAGACAGGTTCTACAGAGAGATCTGGACGGGCTGGATCGATGGTCCAAGGCCAGTTGTCTGAGGTTCAACAAGGCCAAATGCCAGGTCCTGTAGCTGGGTCACAACCACCCCCTGCAACATTACAGGCTCAGGGCAGAGTGGCTGGAAAGCTGCCCAGCAGAGAGGGACCTGGGGGTGCTGGGCGACAGCCGGCTGAACAGGAGCCAACAGTCTGCCC